CTCGTAGAAATAAGTTAAATATCAAGTTTAAATGATATTTAAAGTATGAGTGAAATACACTCATCAAAAACTCAAAATGAAAAATTGAAATATGAAAAGAACAGCCCTAAGCGTTTGAGCAAAATTTTTATTTAGACAAATTTAAAAATTTAAAATTCTAACAAACAAATTTTAAAAAATCAAGAAAAATTAATTCAAAAAATACAAATTGAAAATTTCTAAAAAATAAATAAAATAAAAAAATCCGAAATTCAAAAAAATAAAAATAACAAAATAATTAAAGCTCCTAATAATTATTTACATAAAAATTCTAAAAATTATTTAAGTGAGCACAAATAAATTTTTTATCAGTTCGTGTTAATAATCTTTATTTTTATTTCCTATATATTGAACGTAATTTATTATTTATTTTATTTTACTTTTGTAGCAAGAAAAATATTATAAAATTCACCCAATTTAAAATGTATATATTACTTACTAATATATTAATATAAAATTAATCTCTTTTTATTGAATAATAATATTTCATGGAATAACTTTTATAAACAATTTTAAAAATTTCAAATCAAACATTTCTTTTATTTTGAGAAATAATTTATTAAAATAAAAAATCAAATGTGTTTTTAACAATTTTAAAATAGACTCTTAGAACAAAAAATTTGTAATCAAAATTCAAAATTGAAACACAAATCAAACGGGCCCTAGATGTTTGAGTTAATTGATGACCTTGCATTAACCACATATTTTATAAGATTCACAACTTTTCAAACACATATTTTATTAACATTTATCAACATCTAATAAAATCTTCACCAAGCAATGGCTATATATTTAAATTTTAATCGTAATTAAAAATGAAAATAAAAATAAGTAAACAAAATAGGAAATTATGATATTTAGCCTTTTTTTCATCCTCATTTTTTCCAAATATATTTTTATCTCTTTTTTTAACTACGCATTCTTCAATAAAAAAAATATTACTCGCAAACCCAAAATATTTTCTTATTTTTAACCATATACTTTCTATCAATCTACTATTCTAAAATGCATTCTACACCAAAAATAGAGTTCAAACAAGCTCTTAATTTCCAGAACTTTTTGTCTGGGCATGTTGTCATTCCTAACTCCAATGTGTATTTCTTGTTTTAGTTTCGAGGCAAGAGTAAAAATGATAGAAAATCGTGTTTGGTAAATTGAATTTGATAAAGTTCATCTTATTAAATATATGGTTTTAGATGATTTGCATTGACGTCTATTTAATTTCTGTAAGGGTAATAGGCGCAAAACGTTCCTACCTTTGACGGGTTTTGTGGAAAACGTCTTTATCTTTCATTTCTTGACACAAAACGTCCATACCTTTCACATTTTTTGCGCAGAACGTCCTTTTCATCAATTTTTAATATAAAATGACAATTATACCCTCTTATATAAATAAAACAAAAAAGAAAAGTAAAGAATAAATTGCAATATGCTCCTAAACTTTTTTAAAAATACAAATAAGTCCAAAACTTATGAAAATATTAAAAATAACAAAATATCTCTCTCTCTCCCCTCCACCTCCCTCCACCCTCTTCTCCATCGCCATAAATGTGTCCAAATTCCGGTAGCCTCCGGCCAGCCCAGCAGCTGGACGTTGACACCGGTCAACAGCCCGCCAATTCCCCTTCAATTACCACNGGTCAACAGCCCGCCAATTCCCTTTCAATTACCACCAACAATCGACCCTAAGTCCAGCAGGTTTGGTCGAAATTTCAACTGAAAACCAGCCATTCACGCACCAAAAAACTACCGACACAACCCATTCCAACGACAACCAAGCCATGCCCCCAACATACTAGTCGAATGATCTTAAAACAACAAAAAATGCAACAAATCAACACCTAAAATCTACCTTTTCGAACCCAGCAAAAATGCAGATTTCAAACCTCCTTTCCGACACCGTTGGTAGGTCCCACGATCGTGGACCACCCACTTTGGTACCCTCTCACTCTAGAGCATCTAATGAAAGCATGGGTCACCACCAATTTGGTCTTTATTCGGC